GGACTTGGTACCGCGACCTTGACGAAATGAAGATTTGAAAAAAAAAGAGCACTAGCCACTAGCTTTTAGATATAGTATCGAGAGCAAGCTCAATAAATTCGTCGAAAGTAAGGTTTGCTTTCTTTCCTGCGTTCTGCTTTTTTCAGACCTGAAATGGCCTGAAAGCTTTTGATTCACCTTGTCACCTTCGATCATCTCGTAATTTATCGCAAACAGCATAACAATCAGCATATGCACTGTCATCACGATCACAATCATTGTTGCAGCGATGTGTTCCTAGAGTATATGGATGCATGAGTTCAAGCATTTACAAAGTATGTACCTCTCTATGGTCTGCAATGTATTCGTAGGTAAAATCGGTGTCGACATTGGCATCAAACAGGCCTACGGAGAAAACACTGAGATGTGTGGTCAGACACTTAACCATGGTGTCGCCATGATAACCACCAACCTAAATGTAAGCGCTTAAATTATAGGCGAGGGAAGAATGCACGAGCGAACAGCATCAAGAAATAGTTAATTTTTGTTGCAGCAAACTTTTGTAGAACTCCGAAAAATTCTGAACTCCAGTTGAATATAAATTAAAGATTTTAGTCACAGAATAATGAACATCCATCAAAGTGAAATTCCTCAAGTTTATGTGCAAGACATGCACGTACGATTACAAATCTACAGTATTTTTAAGTTGACAAGGTAATATATTGATGTCCACAAGAAAACTCAAAAAAAGTGAACTCTCCTAAAAGAACTCGGAAGCTGAATTTTCGTGTCCCTGATCAAATGTAGGGCAGCCTGCAAATCAAGCAAGGAAAAAAGTTTACATATGTTCTCACTGTGTACTTATATTATTATATCACAGTGTGTGCTTTTGATAAGTTTTTTGGTAGTAGTTACTCCAAGATACGCTTTTGTATCGCTGTCGATCTGTTCCCTCCCGCAAGCCAAAACAAATACAATTTTGCGCGAAGCGCTTCTCTCGATGATTTGCATTACTTAAATCAGCTGAAATTTTGTGGTTCAACGTGACTTATAGAAGCGCTGTAGTCATTCGATATCATTTCACTCAAAAAACTTATATTTATCTCGTAAAATTCGTACCCTATAAAACATTTGAAATGCTGAGCCCGATGAAAAGAACGAAATGTGGTGAAAGAAGAAAACGGCAAAATTGTACGCGATCTGATTCTGGACGTACGAATTGTTAATTCTTCTCATACAGGATACTGTTGAGCAACTGCAGATACTTTCCATCTCGAAATGTACTTCCAACCTAGGTTATAAAACTTTCCTACCATATATACTTACCACATTGGCTGTGTTTTCAAAATGATCGGTGGAGTTATCGTAGTGGTAACAACCTTTTGTTAGCGCTCGAGCGGAAACTTCAAACCGGATTCCTGTAGGATGTATGTATGGTAAAAATTCTCGTGTAAGGAATGAGGTACTCAGTAGCTACCTCTTGCAAAACACCACTGCAAATTTGCTACTTCGGATGGTGGATCATACCGCACGCAGTCTTTCCCGTTAGTATCCACTATTCCAATACCAACATAGAACAGAC